AATACAACAACAACCCTCAAACCCTTATACAAATTTAACACCACAACAATTATTGCAATTACAAATGAGATCAATGAACGCCGAAATTATGAAAAGAAAACAGGAAAAATCAGATAATATGTGCAAAGCTATGTTTCAGGCTAGAATTTATAAAATCTAAATAATAATATATATAAATGGTATTATATAATAGGTATAAATTTCAAAAAAAAAAGAAAACAACATAAGAAAAATCATTAGATAATCCCGTGGTTGATGCAGGTCAAGACCTTGTATATCACAAGCAAAATTTAGATTATCTTATGCACTTGAAAAAAGAAATGGATGCACGAGAAGCCAGAGTTAAAAATATGGCTTTCAAAAGAAGATCATTAGAGGGTCAGATGAACGCAAATTACGAAACAGAAATGGATAGATTAAGAGGGGAAATGCATAATCCACGAATGCCCGAGACTTCTCTAGAACATCTCCAAAAAAAGATACGATACATTAAGTGAGTTAAGTGAAAATATTTTCTAAAACAATATATAAAACAGAATGGTAGTTAAAAATGCTGGTATACAATTTCACAGAAGATCTAGATACGAAGATATTTTGGAATTAGTAAATGATAACGAAGAAGCATTAAAACCCTTTCCTAACAGAGATGCTGTGTTTTATAAACAAAGCAATAAAGGAACTCGTTTTGATGGAAAGGATCATTTGGATAAATTGAGAATTCAAGAAAAACAAATAGCCGAAAATAAAGCACGTCATGAAATGATGAGAGAATATGCTAACGACAACGAATTAACTCACCGATCACTATTCACACAGAATGACCGACCGGAACCAAAACAACCAAGATCACCAGAAATGTATAATATAGGAACCGATCAGGATGACATGTCGTTTGTTGAAGAATTTGGAACACCACAAGAACAACAATTAATGGAAGTAAATCAAGTATTACAAAACATAGCAACGACACAACAAAGCAACCAACAAGCAATAACACAGGCGCATCAACAGCAATTAGAAAGAGAGGAAGAAGGCGGAACGGGTATATTGAGAACCTTAGGAAATCGTGCATTAAGTTTAGGTAGCAATATTGCTGGTAATGTTGCTACTGGTATGGATGTTAGATCTGCCGCGTTAGCTGGTTTTTCACAGGAAGCAATGGGAGTATTAAGAGATACATTAATGAGAAGAGCAGCTCCACCACCTAGGCCACTATTAGATTTTACAGGAACAGCACGAGACGGACAATTTACGACATATGACCCAACGCCAATACCAAATATGCAATATTTACAACCAACAACAATATTACAACCGCATCAACCAAATGTAGGAGCGATACAGCAAACCTTGCCCGTTGCATCTTCAAGCCAACCTGCAATATCAGAATTACCAAGACCACAACGACCAACAGAACCGAAAGGCAAATCAAGACCCAGACCAACCCCAAAAGCATCACCTGCACCACCACAGCCTAATTATCAAGAAGGCGGAGCGTCAGGATCAGGCGAAAATGCACCACCACCACAACAACAAGACATTGACGTTAGTTCATTATACAAACAATCAAAAAACGTTTTATTTCAATCATCGTGGGGGACTCAAGGAGAAACAGAATTAATAAATGAACTATCAAACTTACCACTCGATGACTATTCTAAAATCAACCCAAAAAATATTCCACAACGGACATTACAATCATTATTCAATATAGCGAAAATTGGAAATCAGTTATCAACCTCAGACGAAGCAAAAATTAAAGAAGTCATTGATAAAAACAATAGAGGCGGAACTACTGATGAAAAAGAAGAACGTGTAATAAGTTTATTCAATGAAATATTTAAGGATAGAACGCCACAGACTGAAGAACCAACAAGAAAGGGGTCAAGAAAAACTCCTCCTGTTAGAAAAACAAATATGAAGGAAGGAACAACTGAAGAACAAGATATGTCATCTCCTACATTAATAACTCCGAGTAAAATAGGTATTCAAAAATTAAGAGAGACATTTGAAGAAGCTAATAACCGAAAAACAATAACAACGAGAACCTACAGAAATTATACAAGTATTTATAATAATTGGGTAAGATCTGCTGGTGATAAAGAAATGAAAAAGCGATATCTACAAGAACTAAAAGATTTGTATAGAAACAGTATATATAAAAAATAATCAAATCTCAAAATATTTCAATAAATAGTAACAATAATTTATTGAAATATTTATTTATTTTTATACAAACAAGTTTTAAAAGTTTTAAAAACCAAAATATATAGTATTATATATATGAAAAAATCGGTTCAAGATGAATTGTTTGAAATACTCTACAAACAGGGAAAGCACGAATTAGAAAAACTAGAAATTATCAAAGAAAGTAGGATAAGCAAAATTGAGGAAATTAAACAAAAATGCGTTATAGAAAAAGAAGAACAGGAACATTTAGATAAAGAAATGAAATATTTAGAAAAACAAATTGAACTACAAAAAGAACCAATAGAATTATATGAAAATAATAATTCATAAAATTGTTGTATAAAATACATACTTAAAGAAATGAAGATAAATATATAAAAAAGTTTTAAAAGCTTTAAAAAGTAAAATATATAGTATTATATATATGTATAAACTTATGAGGGATATCGCAACAGAAAAAGATATTTGTAAAAGTAAATATAAAGAGATATTTCAACCTTTTGAAGAAGAACTAAATAATTTGAATGTTGAATATGCTAAGAAAAAATACGATTTATGTATGAAGCAAATGAAGATGATGACAAAAATGAAAGAGAGGATTGGCACATCATTCGCGGATGATCAATATATCAAAAATGTAAAAGAAGCATTATCGGACGAATTAGAACCATATTTAAAAGAAAAAAATGCCCTATAAAAATTATCACAAAAATTTTAAGATAAATTTAGAAAAAAGTTTTAAAGTTTTAAAAAGGAAAATATATAGTATTATATATATGATGAAAAGCATGAAGGAAGTTGCAACAGGAAAAGACATTGGTAAAGGCAAATATAAAGAGATATTTGAAAAAGAACTAGATAACTTATGTGTTGAATATGGAATGAAAAAATACGCTATGTTAAAAAGACAAGAAGATATACTGATACAAATGAAAGAGAAATTTAACACATCGTTTATGGATGATGAATATATTAAAACTATACGAGGTTCTTTAGATGAACTAGAATCATATTTAAAAGCAAAAATTGAACAATAAAAATTATCACAAAACTTTTATGATAGAAATTTATGATAAAAATTTACCAAAATTTGTTCACAAACTTTTGAATAAATTTTGTTCAAATTTATGATAAAAATTTTACCAAAATTTATGATAAAAATTTATGATAAATTTTGTTAAGAAATTTATGATTTTTTGACTGCTTGAAAAGTGACCTAAAATTTACAAAAAATAAAATTGATTTTTTTATACTGACTGAAAAATTGATTTTTTAAAACTTTATATAATATTTTTTGTAAATTTTAGTGATTTTTTTATGGGAAAATGTGCGAGGTGGAGATGTCAAAATGAGCAAAAAATTTATGGAAAATTGGAAAACGTATATCCCACCCTAGCAAAAAAACGTATGAGGCGTTAGCGGGACGTAAGATGAGTTGAGGCTAGCCTGCCCCTAACTGTTTCCCCCCTCCCACCTAAAAACATGCGGGGTCGACGAGGCATCGAATTTGAAGCCCTATATTGATATTGGCGCCGGCCTCAAACTGGCTCAGAAACCGTCCCAGTATTGGATAGTGTTTCTGAGTCTTGAGAAGCTTTTGCGAGGAAAGACCAAAGGACCAGAAGGCTGACCAAAAAAGATTCAGCCCTGGCACCTCTTTTGGAGACCGAAGTTTGCAGCGATTTCGGCTTCATCGAGGCGGCCCTTAAGTGTAAACCCAAAAACCGCTGAAAGAAGATGCAGGAAAGTCACACTCACAGTCATATGACACCACAGCGGCGTGTGTCAAATCGTGAAGAAGGTCAACCAGAAGACCTTGGAACATTGAAGACAATCGAAATTGGAACGGATGAAAGGAAAGTAGTGAATGACAGAAAATCACAGCATTTGTGGGGCTGCGGGTGTGTTTGGGGCAATCTCAATGCCAAGCTTACAGGCCGCGATTTGCAACTTGACACGCCTGGGGCGCGTGTGAGCTGCAGACATCGTGATCCAGCCTGTCCTCGTCAAGCATCTTGGTTGTTGACTCCACCACAGCGGCGGGATTCTGAACTCGGTCTGCAACTGTTGCCTGATCTGCTCAAAACGAGGACAGGCAGTGAAGCAAGGATGGGCGGTGGCGGCCGGAGCATCGCACCAATCACACTCAGTGTGAATGTTTTGCTGTCGGTGATTTAACCGGGTCTCAGTCCTGACAGCTCCGGCACGCCAGACGGTCAAGGAAAAACGCTCATCAGCAGACAATCGTTTTGTCCACTGTTTCCACATCTGTGAGCTGGAGGCCTCGAGATCGATGTCAGGAACCCCTTCATAGTCAAATCTAGTATGATGGGCCGTGGCCAAAGCCAAAGCAAGGCGACGAGCACGGATGCGCAAGCAATGCTTTGCATGCTCATTGCAGACATGAAAGCGTCGAGTCCGAAGTGCGCCTTTCTGCGAGCCGAGAACCGATCTCCATTCGGAGACCGGCTCACACCGGTAGCTCAACAAACACCCCATGGGTGCTAGGTACAGAAAACAGGGTGGGATGGGTGGGACTAAAATTGGAGGATTGATTGCAGCGTCGTTGTGCCCCCTTGCGCCGGCTTTTGTTCACCTCGTGCCCTCAAGTTCAAAGGGAAATGACAAAACAAAGAGTTGGACACTAAGTGGCTACTGAAGGCTCATTCTGCAGAGCCTCGCGCGTGTTGGGATCACAGGCAAGCGGAGGCCTCATCAGAGCTCCGCCTGCGAATGCGTTCAGCCTGAGTTCGCCACTGGCGCCGTTGCTGCTCGCAGCTCCCGCCCCTTTCTGAAGCACGGTCGAAGCCATGAGTGCAGATGTGGTTGAAATACTCTCGCCCAGTGCAGTCGCCTGAACCTCAAGCTTTTTTCCAAAGGCTGACAAGAAGGAATCCGTGCCCCTTTTCCCAGGTGCGAGTCTCGAGCCCGACCCAGCTGCCCATCGAGAGGAGGTTGGGGCTCCGAATCCATGCGCTTTGCTTCCAGGCACCCTTTGTTTTTTGTGCTGTTTTTGTTTTTTTGCAAAGGAGGCTCCAGCTCTCCCCGAGCAGAGTCGGAGCCCCAGTCGTGTCGAGTCGCGGCCCGGGATTCGCAGCTTTTTTTCCCCGAGGCGCGGGACCTCGAGGCGCGCCGGGACGTCTCACGAGTGTGCGAGTTTACCTCTCTTTTTTCTGCCCCTTGGAGGTGACCGTCAGTCCGGGGCTTCGATTGGGAAGAGCCCAACTGGAGATCGGCTCACTCACTGAGGAGACCAACTGCCCCAACGTCCATCGCCTCGCCTGCAGAGTCAGGACATCGACCACATGCGCTCAGAGCTCAAGTTTCTGCAGCGCGACCTCTCGAAGGCACCGGGAAACAAACACCACGGGGGGCGATAGTCCCAAAGCGCGCCTCAGACCGTGCTGTCGGCAAGGCCCCGCCGCCGCCACTGCGGCGCCCTCAAACTCTGAGCTGCTCCGAGCTGCTCTTGGCCGTGGGTCCAACTCAGGGGAGCGAGTGTGAAGACGATCTCCACGATGGACACCGCAAGGCAGACAACAGGTAGCGAGAGAGCGATTGTGGAGAGGGGTGCCCATGGAGGCTGTTGGACTCCTGCATCAGCGACAAGGCTTCACCACTCTCCCCAGTCCTGTGTTCCATATATGCGGGGGTTTCAGAGGTGGACGCCATGAAGCTGGACCTGGACACGGAGCGGCGGCAGCGATTGGCCAGGGAGGAGGATGCCCGAGCCAGGCAGCGAGATACGCAGCTGCGCCTCGCTTCAGCTCGGGTCCTAGGGTCCGGGAGGCTCCAGAACGTTCAGCAGAGCTCCGATGCCCATGCCGCCCACCAGTTCCACACGGCGGGAGGGGGGGGGGGGAGGGGGGCGTGTGCTTGTCTGTCGTCTGCTTCTGGGGAGGACGGCCGAGTCCGGAAGATGGAGGAGGCCATGGCGGCTCTGGAGAACCGCCTGGAGATGCTCTTTCAGGCTGGGTTCCGTGGTGTTTTTCAGCACTTCCCAAAAAAAGGAAGCAGTGGCTCAGGACCTCGACCAAGGCATGAAAAAGCGAAAGGCTCGGACTCGGATGTCCAGTGCATCTCACACAACATCAGGGCACCTCCTTTTCCGTACGGACCGCTTATGTCATGATTGCAATGTGTGACATGGGCCGAGGCCGATCCTAAATTGCTTGTACCTCTGCACTAAGTGCGCTTTCAGATTTTTTTGTGAGCTGATATAGAATAAAGCAGCTCCTGTGCCAGATCAGAAGCCAAGATGATGGTTTTGAAAGCATTTACTTAATTTCGGCTGCACTGCACGCTGTCACAAACGACCTCACCTAGGCCTAGAACCTACGATTATTTGGACCACATGCCTAGAGGAAGGGTATCCTTCAGCTTGACACCTCCGCAGCCAGCACCAGCATTGATTTTGCTAACGTGTGCTCTCTGACAGCACATGATGCTAGGAAGGGGAGGATGCACTTTGGCTGGCCCTGCAGGAGGCAGGGCTCGGTGGTTGTTTGTGCAAATGTCAGGCGTGACCAGCGGTTGCTGTCGCGGTGTGGGGAGGTCCGAGAAAGTCTGGGGAAGGAAGCACAGCAGCGCGCCGCCCGGGACGAGGCCGGGGGGGGGGGGCGGGGTGGCGATTTCGAGCAACGCCGCTACCATTGCTTGCTTTCTCCGGCGAATGTTTGTCGGGAGGAGCTGTCGCGAGAGGATGCCGGTCTCGCGCAGCTTTTGGAGCAGGTGTGACAACCGGAAAATATTTCGAGCTTCACCGCAGAGCCGCTGTTGGGGGTGCGCTCTTTGAGGAGCGCTCGGAACGAAGGAAGGCGGAGGACGTCGTGGGCAGGGACCGCAAAGCGGAGCTCCTTCGTGTCGCCTCCGTGGAGGCCCAGGTGGCACAGGCCGGTATACGTGCGAAGTGTGAAGTGCGAAGAGATCTGTCCGTGGCTTCCGGGCTCCCCAAATGCGGGCCAGGCAGCGGAGACCCTGGACTTCAAGTTCCACTCCTTGAAGGAACTCCTGGATGGTGAGAAGACCGCTCGAAGCGCCAGAGCCCCAAGCCCCAAGCCACGAAGCTCGGGCTCTCTTCGTTTCTGTGTTTCCAGACTCCGTGAGGGCATGAGCGTCAAGCTCGAGCACGATCTGGCAGATCTGGGAGTGGCTGTGCGCGGTGAGAAGGATGGGATTGAACTCGCAGTGCTGCGCTTGGCTGCCCTGCTGCCGCCTCTGCCTTCCGCTGTCTCCAGGACGCAATGGAGAGGAGGCTGTACTGCGGACTTTTTGAGGAAGAGATTTGCGATGATCTGTTGGCAGGTTAGCAGCTTTCCAGCAAGCTTGTGACAAGGATGCCTGCCTGCCGGCAGAGAGAGTAAAAAGGGCACACGGCTTTTCACTACAATCATGTAGTGGGTGTCTGTAAAGGACGTGGAGGAAAAGCTGCGGGGCCACCGGCAGGGTATGGATACCCTCATTGACCGCAAGCTCTCTGAGTTGAAGGAAGTGTCGGAGTTTAGCTGTCGGCAAAAGGCGGATTTTTTTTTGGGCGACCCTGCAGCTTTCCAGGAGTCGGTGGAGCAGGGCTTCACCCTCGCAAAGCAGAATCGGGAATCGATCCAGTTCGCCATGGAGCGAGAGCGCGAGTCACGGAAAGCCAGCGGCCGAGTGAATCGGAGAACCTTTGGGGAAGTCCTTTGAGAGAACTGTGGCAATGAGGCTCAAAGCGAGACGCTCCTGGCGAGCTTGGAGGCAGTCCGCCAGAGATCCGCTCTTTGTGGCACGTCGGACCTCGGTTCCCGTGACATGGGTCGCGACATGGGGTAGCTGCAGGCGCGCTTGGAGCCCGTGCTTTCCCGTCTTGGCCAAGCAGAGCGGCAGGCAGAGGCGCGGTATTTTGGAGAGTGCAGAGCCATGTGCAGACCCCGCGGTTTGAGCCCCGAGGCCCTCAGCTCGAAAGCCGAGAGAACTTTGCAGGAGCCCGGATGAGAGCCCGGCCCGGTCGCGTTGCCTCGTTTGCGACTATTTGCGACTTTCGAAGGAGCACCAGAGGCTTCAGGCCAGCGTGGAGGAGCCCAGCCGAGAGCCGGCGTTTCGGGAATGCCTCGCAAAGTGTCTGAAGGAGCGCGCGGAAGCTGAGCGACGAGATCTCCAAACTTGGAGAGCAGCTCGCAGCGTGAAAGCGTGTTGTAGGGCGTTTCAGGCCGCTCTCTGTGGCTCCTGCTTGATCCAAAGGTTGAGCTGGATGTCTTGAAGAAGAAGAGCCTGGAGGTGAGGGGATGCCAGGGGGGCCGGGGATGCGATCCGCGGATGCGAGGGTTGTGATTAACTTTGTTTCAGGCTGAGGAGTTTCAGAAAGAGCTCAAGAAAGTCAAGGCCGGGCGGCATGGCAGCGGCATAGGCCGCGGGCGCCGCGGCTTGTGCCCTTTTTCAGTTCTTTCAGGACGCTCTGGAGCTGTTCCCCAGCGACTTGGGCGGAGGCTTCAAGAAGCTGGAAAAGAGGCGCCCCCCACCCCCCCCCCCCCTCACGCTTCCAGCTCCTGCATCTACAAGGGGGGCGGGGGGGGGCCCTCTGTCTCGAGGTGCGGGAGCCTGGAGACCGAGCTGCATCAGGCAGCCGTGGGCGGAAGAAGAAGAAGAAGAGCTTCTGCCTGTTCGTTGACAGACACAGACAGACAGACAGA